GTAAATGGAAAAACTATACATTCAGCACTATATATTAGAAATACCCAAACCTATTTTGAAACATTATCTCATTATAATAATCAACAATTTGAAAAACTTAGCCAGATTAAAGCTATTATAATTGAAGAAGTATCAATGGTATCATCAATTCTTTTATCTTTTATTAGTTCATTATTTGCAAAAATTAACAAATCACCAGTACCTTTTGGTGGAATTCCAACTTTACTAATTGGAGATATTGCTCAACTTCCACCTGTAAGTGGTAAACAAGTTTTTTATGCTCCAGAATGGCAAGAATTTTTCCCACTTTTTCTTACAACTTCTCATCGCCAACAAGATAGATCATTTTATAATATATTAGAAGAAATGCGAATAGGAAATATAAGTTCAGAAACAAGAAGATTAATTGATGAAAAAGTGCAATCATATCAAAGTAACAATGAAATGTCAACTGATACTACCTATATTTTTGGATTTCGTCATAATGCAGATTCAATTAATAATTTAATCTGTGGTTATCTTCCTATTTTTAAAGATATCTCCTCTGGATTTTTAATTTCTACAGCTATTGATTATGTTAATGAAAAAGAATGTATACCAAAAGAATATGATAAACAATTTAGACATTATACTAATTTACCATCTGAATTAATAATAAGAGAAGGAGCAAGAGTAATGTTTCTAACTAACAAATTATTTAATGAACAACTTTGTAATGGATCAATTGGTGTGGTAACTAAATTAATAAATGAAAATCAAGTAGAAGTGGCATTTCCAATAAATAATGGGATAAATCAAGTTATAGTAGAAAAAATTACAACTTATTTTAACTTACATGGAGCTTCAGCACAACGAACACAATTTCCACTTCAAAATGCATTTGCTCTAACTGTACACAAGACACAAGGCCTTACATTACCCCATGTAACTGTATCATTGGATGAACAAATGTTTGCTCATAGGCAATCTTATGTAACAATAAGTCGTGCCACATCTTGGGAAAATCTAGAAATCCAATCTTTTGATCCAAATGCAATAAAAGTAGATGATGCAATGTTGTCAGAATTAAATAGATTACAGGAGAAATTCAATACAATGTATTTATCATAATAGCATCCAATCTAATTTTTTTAAATCACTATACTTAACATTATCATCATATCTAATATTTTACTAAAATTAATACAAACTATTATATTTATATTTATCTTTATATTATTAACACTTAACATGTTACAGAATCAATTCATTTTGATCATTAAATATAATATTTCTTTAATAAAACTAATAAACTCAAAATAAACCATAAAATTTATTATTTGATAAAAATACAAAATACAAATCAACTTTTTAATATAAACCCTATTATATTACTTAAAATATATATAAATAATTACTGAATAATGCAATAATTATATTATAACTCACTAACAATACCAAATTACCCTAGTTATTTAGTATTATTAAGTGATACTAGCGATTAAATTAAAAAAATAATGTAAGTTTAAATTCCTTTTTTTTCATTGCTTTACTGTTATAAAAAAAATATCGATCGCGAAATTTTTAAAAAGGAATTATAACTATAAAAACAATGTAATAGATAATGATATCAAATCAAAAACTACTCAATTTTTTATACTTATCAAAATGTCATATCCAAGACTCGTAGAATTAGTAATATTTCTCATGGATCATAAATAAAGGATTGCATCAGCAATTTAGTAAAAGTTTACTTGAGAATTAAGTATATAGAGTAGCTTAGCAATTTTACTATTACAAATAATTCTATTTATTAATTATTTGCGACTCGATAATTATAAATACAAATTATATTCAAATTATACGTAATATGCTATTTTTAATAAAAGTTAGTACTATTAAACTAATTTTTGATAATAAAATCTGAAATAAAGCAAATTAAAAATATAGAAATTAGTTATCTAGCCGTAAATTGATTTATCCCATCTGATGGATAGTTTGATATTATCTGTTATATTATTATTTATTACTAATGTTTACGCCATAAAATTTATGTAAAGTAATAAAAAATAATAAATTTCGTGAAATTGTTATTATTATAGCTTGGAAGTTATCATTATAGAATTTTTTTTTGATAATTTATATATTGAATATATTGATTATTGAATGAGTTTATTACACAATTATTTAAATTACAAACTTACTTTAGTCTTAGTGTTTAAATAATTCAAAAATAAAGTAAAAATAAATGATAAAATCTTTAAATATAATAATGTTATCGTTAACTTATTATCAAAAGAAAATTTAAAACCCGTCTAAAGAATATATAAATAACAATAAATAATACTTATTAATAAAAAATAACAATAGTAAATTTTTTTTTTAAGCAATTGAAAAAACTTACCGTCAGGAATTTCCAACTCATCTTGTTCTTTTGAATGAAGATTTGGATTATTATATACTTTGTCATTATCTATAAGAAATAAATAAAATCAATATAAAATTGAAATTATTTGTTGCAAAATTTTCGCTTACCATCAATATCACCAATATTTTGTCTTTTCATTTTTTGTTGAATTATTTCTTTTTCATCGTCTAATTATTTAAATAAATGCCACATTAAATTGATATATTGACAAAATAATGATTTATTATTTATTTATTTATTTTATTTTAACATCACGATCAATATTTTTCCTTTTATTTGTTGAATTATTTCTTTTTCATCGTCTAATTATTTAAATAAATGCCACATTAAATTGATATATTGACAAAATAATGATTTATTATTTATTTATTTATTTTATTTTAACATCACGATCAATATTTTTCCTTTTATTTGTTGAATTATTTCTTTTTCGTCATATTAATTTAAAATAAAGTCATGTTTAATAAATGAAATTGACGCAACGAATACTTTACTTGCTAATTACTTACTATTTTAAATTTATTTGCAAATTTATAAATTCTTTGGGTAATTTTTCACTATCGTCTAAAATTAAGAATTAAGATATAGATTTAATATTTAATTTATTATTTCAACAATAAATAGTATTTATTAATTATACTTGATAATTTCTTACTATACTGCTTATTTGATCCATTAAAATCGTTAACTAAAAAATCAAATATAATTCAATTATAAATCTATGTCATTATAAAATAAGTCAACAATGTTAAAGTTAATAATATAGTACTTACTATTGTTAGGAATGTTAAAATCATACAATTTACTATGAAATGCTATTAGTAGTAAAATAAAGTATTTTAAAAATAAATTATTATAAGACAAGAAATTATCAATTCATACCTTCTTGTTCTCCTTTTATAATTTAATTCAAAAAAAGGTAAATCAATAATTTATCATATAATAAAAATAATAAATCCTTAATAAATATTATAAACCTTCTGTTGCATTTCTTGGTTCAGGTAGATTTTCAAAGTTGTGAATTTTACTTGTAAATAATCTGCTACTCGTATAATTTGTTTCTATGTTACTAAACTTATTTATTCCTAAATTATTTATTTCTGATTGTAATAATAATTCATCTGGCATATTTTGATAATATAAATTAATTTTAGCCATTTTTTCTTCAATTACATAAACATCAGGTCTTTTTAATGGATCAGCATTCCAGCATTGTATCATTAAATTTTTATATTCTAATGGAGTTCCTGGCACAATTTTTGGTCTTATACCATTAATAATATTCATTACAATCTCATTTTCATGTTCATAATTTATAAATGGTGGTTTTCCGGATGAAATTTCCCACATAAGCATTGCAATACTATAAATATCAGATGCAAAAGTATATTCTCTTCCAATGATAACTTCAGGCGCTATGTAAGGAAGATTACCATATATACATTTTGATGATTTGTCAGCAGGTCCACAAAATCCAAGATCACTCATGCGCCAAGAATTATTTAATTGTGAATATAATATATTTCCAGAATGTAAATTTCTATGAATTGCTTTCTCATCATGAATATAACTAAGTGAACGAATTATTTCATAAGCAATATTAATTCTCTCCTTCCATGTAAGTTGATTATGATTTTGTTGTAAATATTTTCTTAAATCCATATCCATTTTATACATTACAAGCATATAATTTCCATTTGATGGATTTTGTGTCATTCCACAACATTGAACAATATCTGCCCATTTATTACTTATAGTTAAATGTGATTTAGCCTATAAAAATTAAAATTTTAAAGTTACTATATAAAATATATTAAATTTTTAAATAGATTTGGAATAAAATTATACAGACCTCTTCAAACCAACTTTGATTTGCACTTTCAACATTTTCTAGACTTTTAAGTATTACAACTTCATCTCCAAATCTTATTAATTGTTGTTCCTTAGAATCCCATTCATAATAACTTCCATTAATCCGATCTGCTGTATAAATTTCAGAAAATCCACCTTTTGTTAAATATTTAATATTTTCTAAATTATTATATGGAATCCATTCAACTACCATATTTGGTATAAGTGATTCTATTTGACATTTCTGGATTAAATTATCAACACCTTTATTTCCAGATGCCCAATTTGAAAAATTTTCTTTTAAATAATTTCGAACACAATATTCACAATATAATGTAGCTAGACATTCTTTGTTACAATTTTCACAAATTCTTTTTGTACCATCATTAAATAGGATTTTTTCTCTATCATAATATTTAGTTAACATTCTTATTGCTTCAGTTTTTTCATCATCTGTAAGAATTTTATCGGTAAGAACTTTTTGTTTTCTAAATTCAAATTTTTTATGTATATTATCGTGAATATCAATATCCGTTAATGTAAGTGTTTTATTATTTGTTGCACAAATTAATTCATATCGAAGAGTAGACATCTTGTAATCAATAAATTAAAAAGAAAGAAAGAATTGTGTTCCACGTTCGTTCACTTCGATATAAATTAGTAAAATGCAAATTGTTGATCAAATGAACATTTATGTTGTGCCACTATAGATAGACGAACTATAGAGGTGTCGATCGACGACTATAACCTGCTAGATCACACCCCTATGTGAGATCTAATAAAGAGTGTCACTACGTTTTAAAAAAAAAAAATTAAATTTTTGTGATCTTGTAGTGTTAGTATATTTGACGCCTTGAACTTGCATAATAATATAATCTCCTTTCTGAGCACAGTAATTAAAATTAATAGCAAATATAATTTATGTGCGACAAATTTGATTTCTATCATAGATTAATACTAGATTTATATTTTAATTTGGTGAAACAAAAATCTAAACTTTCAAAATGATTGTGTATTTGTTAAACTAATTTAATTAATTTAATTAATTTATAGTAATTTTCAAAATCTTATTTTAATAGAAATCAATAAACATGGTTGGTAAAAAAAAGTTTTAGAAATTGAATCTATTTAAATAAACAACATATCAAATAATGGATATTAGAAATTATAAAAATCGTTCAAAATATTATTTTTATTAAAGAAACCACATCTAAGTTAGAGAAGAGCTTCTGTAGAGCTTTCATTTCTGTCTTTTGGTGTAAAATATAGATTACAAATTAAGAATCGAATCAAATATATAATTTGATAGAAACACATTAAAACTGAATGAATGATTATATCGAGAATTAAGTATATGTACTAGTAACTTCGTCATAATAATAATAGTATTGCTATTCATTGAATCTATAAATTCCTGCTAAAATTTTAAGCTAACTATTTTTTGTAATTATGTGACTCAAATTTATCTAAAATTAATTAATTGTCTAATACAAACAAATACGAAATTTACACAATCTATCATTTTTTTTAAATAAATACATAGTATTACTCGTGATACGAATTCGAAAAATTTTCGCGCAAAATCATGATAATTCCATGCAACTATGTTTAACGATTAATAGTTCTACTTTATTATCTGTTATTGTAAATTTCTAGAATAAATAAATATGTGTATATATATGATATAGGAATATTCTAACCTTTTCTATCAACAATCGGTTAAAAATAAATATAAAAATAAATGTATAATTTACAAAAAAATTATCTATCTTCATTATATAATTTACCAAATAATAATTTCATTTTTCATTTTCATTTCTACGAATGAGTCGTGTTAGCTGAAATAGTTCCACTATTCTCCGTGTATATGAAAATTTGTAAAGGAAGTTGATCTCGTTAAAGAATCTCTCTTATCATGTTTTGCTTATCCTATCAAAAAGAAACGATAAATTCTAATTAGAGTAGAAGTTGTAATCATATAAATATTTTCTTTTTTGTGATAATTTACATATTTAATAATTCGAATTTTATTATATAATTATTTAAATTACAAACTAAGAATCTTGTAAATATTACTCTAGTCTTAGTGGTTAAATAATTCAAAATAAAGCATAAATAAATAATAAAATCCTCAAAATATAATTAATGATATTACAAAAGGAATATTTAAAACTCGTCTAAAGAATAAATAAATAACAATAAATACTAATTAGTAAAAAATAAAAAAAAAAAATAATAGTAAATATTTTTTTAAAGCAAATAAAAACTTGCAATCAGGAATTTCCAGGTCATCTTGTTCTTTTGAATGAAAGTTTGGATTACTATATACATCGTCATCATCTATAAAAAATAAATAATAAATTAAAAAATAATATAAATTTGAAACTATTGTTACAAAAGTTTCGCCTACCATCAATATCACCAAAATTTTGTCTTTTCATTTTTTGTTGAATCATTTCTTTTTGATCATTTATAAAAGCCACACTAAATTAATATATTGACAAAATAATTATTATCATTATTATTGCTTACCATCATTATCAATACTTTTCTTTTTCATTTGTTGTTGAATTATTTCTTTTTCGTCATATTGATTTAAAATAAAAGTCGCGTTATTTAATAAATAAAATTGATATAATGAATATTTTATTTTCCTTATTTACTTACCATTTGAATTTATTAATTCGCTAGACAATTTTTTACTGTCACCTAAAATTAATTGATTTTAATATTTATTATTTCAAATAATCCACCTTTTAAAGATATTTAATAATTTCTTACTATACTGCTTATTTAATCCATTAAAATCATCGTTAACTAAAAACAAATATTAATTCAATTATAAACATTTATCATTATAAAAAAATTAGATTAATGGCAACATTAATAGATACAATACTTACTATTTTTAGGAATGTTAAAATCATATGGTTTACTATGAAATGCTATCATAAGATAAGGTATTTTTAAAAATTAGATTATTATATTATAATGAATTAAAAAACGACAAAAAATTATTAAATTATACCTTCTTGTTCTTCTATTATAATTTAATTCAAAAAAAGGTAAATCAATAATTTATTATAAAATACAGATTTTAGAATCACTAATAAAATATTATACACTTATACCTTCTGTTACATTTCTTGGTTCAGGTAGATTTTCAAAGTTGTGAATTTTACTTGTAAATAATCTGCTACTTGTAGAATTTTCTTCTACTTTATTCATTTTTAAATCATCCATTTCTGATTGTAATAATTCATCTGGCATATTTTGATAATATAAATTGATTTTACCCATTTTTTCTTCAAGTGTCTTAGTATCAGGCCTTTTTAATGGATCAGAATCCCAACATTGTATCATTAAATTTTTATATTCTAATGGAGTTCCTGGCACAATTTTTGGTCTTATACCATTAATAATATTCATTACAATATCATTTTCATGTTCATAATTTATAAATGATGGTTTTCCGGATGAAATTTCCCACATAAGCATTGCAATACTATAAATATCAGATGCAAATGTATATTCTCTTCCAACAATAACTTCAGGCGCTATATAAGGAAGATTACCGTATATACTTTTTGATGATTTATCAGCAGGTCCACAAAATCCAAGATCACTAATGCACCAATCATTATAAAGTTGAGAATATAATACATTTCCAGAATGCAAATCTCTATGAATTGCTTTCTCATTATGAATATAACTAAGTGAAAGAATTATTTCATAAGTAATTTTAATCCTACCCTTCCATGTAAGTTGATTGTGATTTTGTTGTAGATAATTTCTTAAATCTATATCCATTTTATACATTACAAGCATATACTTTCCATTTGATGGATTTTGTGTCATTCCATAACATCGAACAATGTCTGGCCATTTATTATTTATAGTTAAATGTGATTTAGCCTATAAAAATTAAAAATTTATAATTATATATGATGCTTTAATTGTTTTTAAATAAATTTAGGAATAAAATTTTACAAACCTCTTCAAACCAATGTTTATTTGCACTTTCAACATTTTCTAATCCTTTAAGTACTACTGCACGACTTCGAGATCTTTTTAATTGTTGTTTTTCAGAATCCCATTTAATATATCTTCCATTAACCCAATCTGCTGTATAAATCTCTGAGAAACCACCTTTTGTTAGATATTTAATATTTTCTAAATTATTATATGGAATCCATTCAACTATATTCTGTGGTCCGAGTGATTCCATTTGACATCTCTGGATTATATTATCAATATCATCATTCCCAGATGTCCAATTTGAAAATTTTTTTTTTAAATAATTTCGAACACAATGTTCACAATATAATGTAGCTAAACATTCTTGGTTACAATTTTCACAAATTCTTTTCGTACCATAATTGACCCTAACTTTATCTCGATCATAAGTTATAGTTAATATTCTTATTGCATCAATTTTTTTCATCATTTGTAAGAATTTTATCAGCCAGAACTTTGTGTTTTCTAAATTCAAATTGTTTATGTATATCATCGTGAATATCGACATCTGTTGAATAAATTGCCGCGTTAATTGTTGTAAAAACTAACCCTTTTCGAATAACAGACATAATGTAAATATTTTTTGTAAAAAAAAATTGGCTTTTATTTGATATAAAAAAATGAAATGGGCTAGTCGATCGTTTATCACGTGAAGCTTTCTTTGATTGCCACACAAATAGTTTAAAATAGATACATAGGCAGTTAAAACTACCCAGAAAATTCTTCGAACTCGGCCGGCGTTATGCACTGACACGTGATCGAAGAATTTAGTATGTGATGAATAAAACGTGACAAATAGAATTTCATCTACTTGAAAAAATAAAGTCCCTCAGATAAATATAAATAGTGAAACTCGGACAAGGGTGTGACGATGTGATAAATAAAACCATACATAACATGAAACACATAATATAACTGCGCCTGATCTTCACATTTTTTTCAAACGAATATATAATAAATCATCTAAAAACAATTATTTAATGTATAGTACAAGAAGTTTAACAAATTAATAATTCCACTAATCAATAATTTATTTATTATTATTAATTCTAAAATAAATATATAAACACAGTAGTATATAAATAAATATGTATAATATAAGAATAATCTAGCTTTTTTAACAACGATTAAAAATAAAATAAAATATATAAAATTTTCAAAAAGATTATCTACTTTCATTATATAATTTACCAAATAATAATTTTCCTTTTTCATTTTCGTTTTCTGCGGATGAGTCAATGGATCTTGTGTTAGTTGAAATCGTTCCAATACTTTCCTTGTGTATATAGAAATTTGTAAAGGGAGTTGATCTTGTTATAGAATCTTTCTTATCATGTTTTTTTATCCTATTAAAAAAAAATACGATAAATTTTAATTATTAAGTATATTAAAGAATAAATAAAGGAAGATAAATTCATACTTACTTTATACCTAATACTTTCTTTTGACTTTCTTGACTTTCACTACTAAGAACTGAAGCTTTGTCTGATCCTTCATCATGATCACTATTAGTACCTTCTTCATTCATCAACGCAGTAACATTAGCTGTAGCTGCTACCAATGCTGTGGCTAATGAAGGAACTACAGCTTCATTTGAAGTTAAGTTATCATTCGTTGGTCTACCACGGAATTTTTGATTTATCAAGGAACCAGTATGATACAGGATGCTACGAAGAATATCTAAATAATATTCATCATATTACACGTGAATATCAAATAATAGGATATAAAATAAACGAGCATATATATAACATATATAAATAACGCAATTACCTCTTTTGATATGTTCCAAAAAGTCTAACCATGACCACGTTTTGTTTTGATACTCCAACGTTGGCATTGTGAAAACAAAATCATAAATATCTTCAAAATTCTTTTCTTTTGCGCCCTATGAAAAAATTTTTTTAAAATAAATTAATTTGAAGATAATATTATAATCAAAAATCGCCAAATAACTTTTACTACCTGATAGCTAAAATTATGTTGTACACCTGGAACTTTTATATAAATGAATGTTCTGTTTTGGGAAGCTCTCTTTTTCATTAGTTCTAGCTCATACGAATCATCTGTTGCTGTCTTTGATGATTGTCTTTTACCAATTCCTGTACTAATAGACATGGAAGACATGGAATTATCATCCGAAAAAACAGTTACATATCCATCACTAACAATTTCTTGAGATTCAGAAATAAGACTATCACTATATGAATCTATTGTTTTCTTTGATGATTTCGCCGTTTGTTCGGAACCCATAGAACTTCTCTTTTGTTCTGTACTGTAACTAACTTGAACATTTTCATTTGTTTTCACGTTATTTTGTTTCATCATATATTCTTTCCTTTTTTCTGGGAATATATACATCATCATAAGTTTTCCAATATCATATTGCATTTGAAATTTGAGTGGAACCATATTAACTTCAAAATGTTCAACCATCGCAATTCCAGCCACCGGTTCCAACTCTTCCCAATAAACTCTTATCATTTTATTACGACTAAAATCTACTGGACGTCGAGGATCTATATGTGGTGATATTAATTTTTCAAATACGGGAGATGTTAACTTATTTGTTACGATGACATGATCTATCTCTAAAATGTTCGTACTAGCGTTCCCTTCTTTTGTCACCCATCCAAAATTTGCTTTCGATAATTTCCATTCACAAAATGGTTTTCTGTCATTTTCTTGCATAACCCAAATTACCTCATCTGCTGTTGCTATAAGTTTCAACGGCATTTTACTTTCTGCCTTCTGTTTCTTTTCTTGTGAAGCAGTTATAGCTTTCATTAAAAGATCTAATTCTTCTTGTAAATTTATTAATTCTACATTTACAGCACTAAGCTCTTTCAATCCTTCCTCATCTAATTCAGTTGAGTATAATTCATATTGTAATCTAATATCATCCAATTGACGAATTTGTTCTTGTAAAGCTGATACTCTTTCAGCTACACCTTCAAGGTTATCTAAATCTGCTGCAAGTAAAATTGCTCCCAACTTTTCAGCTCGTTCTTTTTGTGCAGGTTCACGATACATGAATAAATCTGTGACAATATCAAAAAATATACAATATTGATCAGATGTTGCTGATATTTTAATATTTGGAACATCTATATGTAAAGAATCCATCCTTTTATCAAATTCTTCCTTCTTAGAATCATTAACTCCTAATTTATCAGATTCTTGTTCAATATTATTTTTATCTTTTCCATCCTTTTTAATATCACTACCCTTTATACGTAAATTGTTAAATTTATCATATCGAGTTGTTGCAGAAGTTCTTTTAACGATTCGTTGAAATGGTAAAGCACTATTACTAATTAATGCTTCCATTGGAACCCACACGGGCCAATTTTCTGGACCTTTAGCACCATAATTATTTGCGGACAAAATCTTTGAATAATAATCATTCAAAAAATCTTTTTTAGTACTCGTAAAAATTTGAGCATTATCTATACCAAAGAATGTCCTAGTTTTCACCACTTCATTAATCAAATCACCTTTAGACCAATCTTCCACTATTGAAAATGACTTAAGCTGAGCTCTCTCTATACACATTATTATGCTGGAATCCGGATCTTTATCACATTGTAAATTAATTTGAGGATTAATAAGTTGAAGGAAAATATCTTTACGTGGTGAATAACCTTCGGGAATACCATCATACGTATTTTTTGATTTTCCTTGATCATTAGTAGCTTCTTCTGCAAGAACTTCATTAGGTACAACAAAACTTATCTCTTGTTCTCCAACCAATTTCCTTAACATTTCAGCTGCCATATGAGCATCAAAATCATAACTATCCAATCCAATGGAATATATTGAATCCCTTTCTTGCCTTAATGATTTTTCATAAGCCTCCTTTTCTTTTTGTTGTTGAATCTTCTTTTGTAAATCCCTTATAAATTTAACTGCGCTCGTTGACATATAATATGATATACCTAGCTGTTGTTCAGCAAGATTCAGAAATCTATACAATAAATTACGTAGTGAATTGTTCCATAAGGCTTCAGCATTGTGAATAATAAATTTATGCCCAAAATGCCCAAAATGACCATGAGAATCGGCCCATAATGGAGAATTAAAACTAGAGTTGACTTTCTCGTCATCTGATTCATTATCATCACTTCCCTCCTCAACATATTTCGTTCCTGATTTATTTAGTGTTTCTTCTAAATTATTTAAATATTCTTGAATAACATTCCTTTTATGTGATAAAATAGCGGTGGTGTTTTGTATAGTTTGTGACTAAAAGAAAAAAAAAAAAAAAAAAT